TGATTCTTAGATAGTTAGTTTAGTAAGTTCCTTATTTGTATGCTCACTTTTTTATTGCATGTACATAATTTTCTTGATTTTTCTTTCTTTTTTTATTTTTATTTTTAGGGTTGTTTTTAGATCTTTTTCTTTTTCATCTATTTAAAACAAAATAAAAATTCATTTTTTTCTTTTGTTTTCTTTGAAATATTCAAAAAAAACTCTAGACATGCCTATTTATATGCTTTTATAAGATTGATTCTAATAATATTATTTATTAGTATATAAGCTTTGATTATGTCACATGAGTCAAGGGGGTGTATATATATACATACATACATATGTACATACATATACATATAAATACACATACATAAATACATACACACATACATATACACACACATATACATATATATACACACACAAATATATGTACATGTGTGTGTACAACCGCGTGCACACATGCGCGCATGCACGCACATGCACATACACACACAGAGATAAAAATATGATTACTTTATACATTATTTCACAAGATATTTCATGTTACAATTTCACACAGCTAGTTTTGTACTCATTTGTGATATGAAATAGTGGTGAAGAGTTTTAATATTTTATTTATAAGATATTTTTGAAATATATCAAGAGTTTATTAGCTTATTTTTAACTGGAATAATACTCACATTTATTCTTTATATCTACAAATGTGCATTTATGCTAAAAAGATATCAAACAAAAGAGTGTTTTTGTTAAAAGATGATCAAAGATCCATACTCTTATGAAATCTTGGGAAAATTGAGTGTATCCATTAAAAGGTGGTCAAAGGCCCACACTCATGGATTATGTTTGTGCATATATCAAAGGATAGTCATCCTCTACTTAATATTTTAATATTTAGAGATGGTGTGAACTGTCTGCCAAACACTATCGTTCTTCCTCGTAAATTCTATATGGTAGAGGTGATAGGGCAACGCTTTGGTCCTTAGTTTCTAAGGTTGGGATAATTCAAGTCTTATTATTGCTCAATATTCTCTTTGTTACATTTGAATTTGTCCAATGAACTAGTATAATTCGTTTTACTATTTTTTCACATACTTTTCAATGATATTAAATCAATTTATATGTAATTTTTGAAGTGATTTCTCTCATGTTCATTGGTTTTGTGATTAGATTTTAATCCCTTGTACTATTTTTGTTGTAATTTTTTGTTGAACCAGTATGTATTTCTCTTCCTTACACATTTGGATAATTTTTATCTGAATCGGTTGAGTATAAAGTGTAACCATTTATTTGTGTATTTTTGACTTTTGCTAATAACAAAAGGGAAAATTTTTAAAATTGTTGACGCACTTGATGCATTTTTTTAGGGGGATTTTTTCAATACTTTGTGCTTGATTACATTTTTCATGAATGCATAAATGAGCTTTGCATATCATTTTTTTTTTGCATGAAAGTGTATTTGTGCTTATAGTTGTTGTTTACATATCTCAAATATGCATATATTAGGTATTTCAAATTTCATATTTCTACTATCAAAAGGGAGAGATTGTTAGGATGTAGTCCATACAATATCTCTTGCTTAAGTAATAACAGACTCTTGTTTGGTACTAACAATTGTTTGAGATGATATAAACAATTGTTTGAGATGATATAGTATAAGTGAATACAGATATAAGACATGTACGAGGCAAAACAACGCGAAAATTAGTTCAAACGCTTTCAACCATTGAACAATCTATAGTCATTAGGGACCCATCGATGGTTATGAGGTCAACAATGACTACAAGAACCGATTAATGAAATTCCAAAGATAGTTTTTCAAACCATCGATGGCATGCAGAAACCCATCGATGGTCGTGAGCAACCATCGATGGTACAGATAACTAATTATAGATTTCACTTTTAATCTCACCTATTCGTCATTTTTTTGATCTACAAATTCTGCCATGTTTAGAATATCTCTTTCATGATCTATTGAAGGCTACATGTCATTGAAAGCAATAGAGAGAAGGGAGAGATGATTTGAGAAGAGATTATATTGAAGGTTTTAATCCCGAAGCTTCGACAAACTCTTTCTCGTCGCGCACAACATCTCCAAATTTCTTAGTGAGGAGAGTTCCCCTTGGTTTTATCGTCTATGCTGTTCTTCACTGTGTTACACTTAGATTCATCGAAGGACGACTTGTTTATCAAAAGGGCTGTGAGATGTTTCATAATTTCTATGCTTAATTATGGTTGATTGGTGGTGCTTCAAACTTATTTTTACGCCGTGCTCAAGTCAGTGTTAATTGATGGTTGAGACTAACTAGGGTTAGGTATTTACTCATTGTAGAGAGTTAGATTAGACAACTAGTTTTGGATAGATTCTAGGTTGCGGTCTTTATAAGCCTATTAAATCAGGTTGTGATTTAGGAAAACTCTTGGCATATTGAGGAAGACCCTTTGTGAGGAGGCATAATGAGGAAGCCTCTTTGTGAGAATGAAGAGCGGACATAGGATTGTTATGCGAACTGCTATAAAATCTTGCATGCCTTTGGTTGGTTGTTTTTCGCTTTCATTTTGTTTAGTCCGCTGCATATTCTGTGTTTTTAGCCAAAAAAAAGGTATCAACCTTATTCAAACCCCCACCTCCCACCCCCCAAACACGCTATGTGTTGCATCTCACATGCAATAAAATTTTATTTATATTAGTCCCCATATCTTTCATATGTTTGAATTAGTCCCGAAATGTTTAGATTTTAAAATTAGTCACTCATATCCTTTAGTCTTTTGAAATTAGTTGCTCAAATCTTCATATTTTTGTAAAATAATTCCAAATCTGTTAAATGTTTTAAAATTAGTCTGTCTAGTTAGCACTAGGCCGAAAGACTTAAGGGACTAGTTTTAAAATATGAAAGATTTTTTTTTTTGGGGGGTGGGATATTTGAAGAAAAAGCCAAAATCAAATTTAAAATTAGTTATCCTAATCAAAACATAATTAGTTATAATTAAAAATCAAACTCGAACTATTCAAAGTAAACTATCTTAATCCAATCCTAAGTATCCATAGTCAAAGATGAAATCACAATTATCTATAACTAGAATACCAAATCATAGCTATCCATATATAAAAATATTGTAATCAAATCATAATCATCTACAATTAAAAATCAAATTGGAACTATTCGTAAATTAAAATATCAAACAAACTTGATTTGTTTTTATAAATAAATAATAAAAAGGAGGGTTATTTAGATATTTGCTCCTCATATCATCAATATTTCCATATTAGTCCGTCAAATCAAAGAAATTGCTTATTACCCCTTAAATTCTATGGGTATTGCAAGTTGATCCCTCAATGGCCAAAATGCCCCCACCTAATGTTTTATATGGGTTATTTGCAATTTGACGCTCTAAAAATTACATCTTTTAAGCTTTGATACCCTAAGGGTATGTTTGGGAGTTCACTAGGGGAAGGGAAGGGAAGATAAACAAGGGGAAGGGAAGGGAAGGGAAGGGAAGGAAAGAGAAGGGAGGGGAATTATAATATGTTGTTTGGGAGTTGAGTAAGGTGAATGAATGTGAAATTAATATAACTTGTTTGGGAGTAATAACGAAGGGAAGAGAAGAAAATATATGTAAATTTACACAAATAACCTTATACTAATAGCACATGATCTTATCAAATCAATACACCCAACTCAAATTGACAAAACACACCGATGAATATCGCTGTAATAATTCGCAAATGGAAAATACTCTCTTCATAAGTAATAAACCATAAAAAAGACAGATTTACTGCATTCATGTCTATTTGAAATGGTTCATCTGCAAATGCAACTAAATAAAATAAAGATCCTACAAAATCAATCCTCTTACGAGTTCTCGAGCTCCCAACAGCTTGAAGCCTCTGAGCAAACCACCAATCCTCTTTCGACATCACCGGAGGCGGCAACCTAGGGTTCAAATTCACATTGGAAATGTAATACGAAAGGTAAGCTGGATCAGATCGGAGCTCCTCCTCGGTCAACAGCTCGTTCTCGATCCCGTCGATTGCGTTGCGAGCTGTTGGAGGACAAGAACGCGCTCTGACGATTTCACCAGAAATTTGGCAGCTGACACCTAAATCGATCACAAATCAATGAAAGGAAGCAAAAAGGAGCGATCTTGTTGACAAAGGGCAAGTGGAAATTACAAATTTACTGCACTCGCGACGATTCCCCCTACCCTCCTCTACCGCCCGAATCGGGGGGGGCGGGGGGGAATGGTTTCTCCTGGCCAATTTATTCTTATTTTTCCTTCCTTTCCCCTTCCTTCCCCCTCTCTACTCCCCTAAAGAAAACTCCCAAACAAGGTTAAATTGATATTTCCCTTCCCCTCCCCCTCTCTACCCTCCATTAGTAAACTCCCAAACACACCGTAAAGTTTTTTTTGACATTTGGATACCTTAAAGTATACGCCTTCTTAACTCTAAGATACCCAAACTTTTTTGACGCCTTTAATACCCCAAACTTTACATATTATTAACTTTCATACCCTTAAAGACTCCATATTTTTTGTTTTAACTTTGACTTCTCAAAATTTACACATTTTTTAACTTTGACACCCTAAAGTTTGGGGTATGGAAGTGTCAAAAATTAATGGGGTGTCAAAGCTAAAAAGTTATAAACTTTATCATAACAAAAGTGGCCAGAAAAAAACTTCAAGTATCGAAGTTAAAAAATGTGTAAACTTTAGGGTATCAAAGTGCAAAAAATTTGGCTATAAAAGTTAAAAAGGTGTAAACCTTAGAGTACCAAAGTGTAAATAACCATTTTTTTAACAAGACGAGTTTTAAGAGAGAAATCATAAGTAAAGCGTATTTGGGTCATTGATGGACCAAACTGCGATAACCCTAGGATTTGAGGACTAACGAGCCGTTATTGACGGACTAGTAGTGTGGAGCTATCAAAGATTGAGGGACTAATAGTAAATATCCCATGTAATTTTTTTTTAATAAAAAAAAAGTCTGCCCTCATTACCGACCACAAATCCTCGTCCCCTTCTCATTTCATCTGCACTCTCCACTTCACAACCTGTAACTAACTCCACCCAAAAAACCCAAATCTCGACCGTTATTTTTTTCCTAATCAGGTAAAATTTCGATCCCTCTCTTCCATCGATCCCCCATCACTCGATCCCCTACCAATTAAGCTCCCCTCCGTTCAAAGATTTCTCCTTTTTTGGCGCAGGAGCTGGATTCCGTCGGCGATGTCGCCGCTTCCGCCTAGGGTTCCGATCAACATCAAGAGGAGAGCCGTCTCCGCCGTCCGCGACTTCCCTAAGGGCTGCGGTGTTAAGGTAACCTCAAACCCTAGCCCTAGCGAGGCGGATGCTGATGCCGCCTCTGAAGCGAGTAGCTCGCTTAAGGTCCCGAAAGAGGGCTTGAATGGTTCTGCTAAGGCTCTGATCGATTCGGAGGAGTTACGAGCTGAAAAGGGGGGGATTGAAGGGAAAAGCTTGGAGCTTGCTAACCCTAACCCTGAGGAGAAGGAGGAGGAGATTGAAGGGAAAGATTTGGAGCCGCCTAACCCGAAGGAGGCAGTGGGGGAGATTGAAGGGAATGATTTGGGGCTCCCTAACCCTAAACTGAACGGGGATGTTGAAGGGAATGAGTTGGCGCTCCCAAACCCTAATCCTAGCCCAGAGGAGAAGAAAGGGATGATTGAAGGGAAGGATGCGGAGCTGCCGAATGACGAGGTGGTGAAGGTTATTGGGCATGTGGAGGACGAGGAGGGGATGAGGCATTTGAAGAAACGTGCGGATGAGGAGGATGTTAAGGAGGAGAAGTTGAATGCGAAGAGATTTGTTGGTTTGAAGAGGAGGAAGGTCTCGGCGGTTCGAGACTTTCCTCTTGGATGTGGGAGAGCTTCTTCTAAGAATTCGAATGCGGGACCCATTGCTTCCTCTGAGAGCGAGAGCAAGAGCAAGAGCAGGGCTGTCAATGATGATGAGGTGAGAATGAACGTCGTAGAGGCCAAGAACTCGGTTGAGGATGCGGTGAGAGAGAAAGATGAAACGCAAATCGGAGAAACAAATGTTGATGCCGTTATTAAGAGACTTGAAGAAGACGGGGTTTTGCCTGGTGAAAAGCACATGGCCAAGGTTAAAAATAGTGAGGGCAAGCAAGTTAATGCTAAGGAGAAGAAAGCCTTGCTGAAGAAAAAGGATGTTATGGAAGGTTCGGGCAGTGTTTCTTCTTTAGAAGCGATCGAGATGAAGAGAACTGGGAGGATCACCGAGGAAATGGAGGAATCGGACGAGGATAAGGATGAGTTTAGGATAGTGAGGCGGCAAGTTCACAGGGACAGTGATGATTTTCAAAAGAGTAGCTCGAGCGAGAGTACATTGGAAGGTCAAAGAGCGAAGAAATTGTTGATTCAATCTTCTAAGAAGAAGTTGGAAGCTAGTGATGTGAGACCAGCTAGAAATAGTCTTCAGGGTAAAGGATTGCGAGAAGAAAAAGTAGGCAGGAGTTTGGTAGAGAAACCAGTAGATAAGGGATCCATCAAGAGAGTGAAAGAACGTGACGAGTATTTGGAAGTTTTGGGGGATAAGGAAATCGTGCACGCTTTGATGGCTGCTGATAACTGTCCATGGAGGAAGGGGAAAAAGTCAGTTGCTACCATTTCCCATTCTATCACTCCAAGAGTCAAAGCAAAGAAAGCAAAACGATTGTTAGGTAGCAATTCTGCTTCTGCCTCCGGCAAAAAATCTGTATATGCACATGAAAATAGAGTGGATATGGAGGATGAACAAGAATCCCAGCTTCAGAATGATGAAAATGAAATGGCCCTCGCCCTTTATGATGGACCCCAAGAGTTATCTATCACTATGACTCCATCTGTCCCTCCTCAACTAACTCACAAAGACGGAAGCAATGAAGAGGGCACCAGTCGCATGATGGTTAAGAAAACTCTTCGAACGTTTCAATTGATGTTTAGGAAGCTCTTAAAAATGGAAGAAGCAAACTCAAAGGAAAATGAAAAGAGTCAGAGGATTGATTTAATGGCTGCTGGTATGTTAAAAAAGAATAAAGAATGGGTAAACCATGATGGTGAGGCAATAATAGGACATGTACCCGGAGTTGAGGTTGGTGATGAATTTCACTACAGGGTGGAGCTCTCTATCATCGGAATTCATCGTCCTTTTCAAGGCGGAATTGATTACACGAAGAAAAATGGTGTGCATCTTGCAACAAGTATTGTGTCATCTGGGGGTTACCCTGATGATGTAGCTAGTTCAGATGTTTTGATATATTCCGGTTCAGGAGGAAATGCAGCTGGTGGAGACAAACCAGCAGGAGATCAGAAACTTGAACGGGGAAACCTGGCTTTAAAGAACAGTATAGCTGCACAAACACCTGTACGGGTTGTTTATGGTTCTAAAGAGCTTGTTAAAAGTGATTCCCGTGGTTCAAAACCCAAGATGGTGGCCACCTTTATCTATGACGGGCTGTACATAGTTGAGAAATTCTGGCCAGAGTTGAACAATAAGGGTTTTAGTGTTTTCAAGTTTCAGTTGAGGAGAATGGCAGGGCAACCTGAAATTGCTTTAAAAGAAATCAAGAAGTCGAAGAAGTCAAAAGAACGGGAAGGCCTTTGTGTGAAAGATATATCCAATGGAAAAGAAAGGAGACCCATTTGTGCAGTGAATACGGTCGATAGTGAACAGCCAATGCCTTTTAAATATATTTCTAAGGTCATGTACCCTTCATGGTATGTCAAGAAACCTCCAATGGGCTGCGATTGCAAAAACGGGTGCTCGGATACTGAGAAATGTGCTTGTGCGATGAAGAATGGTGGAGAAATTCCGTTTAACCACAATGGCGCTATTGTTAACGCGAAGCCCCTTGTTTATGAGTGTGGTCCTTCTTGCAAGTGCCCTCCTTCATGCCACAATAGGGTCAGTCAACATGGTATTAAACTACCACTGGAGATTTTCAAGACTAGCAAAAGGGGTTGGGGAGTGAGATCCTTGTACTCGATTCCTTCTGGCACTTTCGTGTGCGAGTATATAGGAGAAATGCTTGAGGATGCAGATGCTGAGAAGAGGACGACCAATGATGAATATCTCTTTGATATAGGGCATAACTATGAAGACCGTGCTCTGTGGGAGGGTCTGCCAAGTTATATACCGGGTCTGGAGTTAGATGCTACCTCTGAGATTGCCTCTGAGATGAAGGATGATGGTTTCACAATCGATGCAGCTGAGTTTGGAAATATTGGCAGATTTATTAACCATAGCTGTTCGCCCAACCTTTACGCACAAAATTTGCTTTATGATCATGATGATAAGAGAATGCCTCACGTAGCTTTCTTTGCTATTGATAATATCCCTCCACTTCAGGAGCTGACGTATCATTACAATTACACTATCGATCAAGTCCGAGATTCAGAAGGCAACATTAAAGAGAAAGAATGTCTATGCGGTTCTTCTGAGTGCATTGGCAGGCTTTATTGACTGAGGCGGTTTTGAGATGTACATTTCTCGACTTCCTCTGTTGGCCTTCATGAAGGTAAAAGGTATGCCCTTTTTTTAGAAGTGTTTTCCAGGTCTTTCTTGTTGTGAATTGATATACTTAGAATTTGATGCCATCTTTCTGCTTGATATATGAATACACTATATCCACGAGCATAGTTACATAGCAGGTCGTGGTACGAATTCGGGCATGCAATTCACCACTTAGAAAATTTGGATTTGAGGGGTTAGCTTGCTTCAGTATGCAAGTTTGATACATGATACATCGTAAATATGTTTTTGGGGCACTTACCATTAGTGTATAATAGAAAGCTAGAAACTAAAAAGCTAATTATGCATCACGATATTTTTTTCATACAAAATACTCAAATGATTCTCTTTATGGAGTTTGTTCTCTTTCTTTAGACTGTCCTCTCATTTCCAATGAGGTTCTTTTTTCTTTTTCTTTTTTTTGGGAGTTTTTTCCCCACAGTTCGTTCTGGGATGATGATTTCATTTCGTGTTTTATTAACATAGGGATTTAGTTACGGTAAAGTCATTGACTGAATATTCTATAATGCGCCTCCCTTCAATCTATTGCGCACATCTCACTGCATCTTGCGCATTTGCACTTAAACGGACTTTGTCTCCCGCATACTTGTGAGTTTTACGCTAATTTTGGGGAACCAATTTGTGTATTGAAGAGAATTGGTTAGCAAATGTATTGGGAATCGATTCACATGAACTATACAACGCGGTTTTTTTTGTGTGGTGGTGGGTGGGGTGGGGGTGGGGGGTCCTAGGCGGATTACACAACTTGAATCTCACATATACACATTTGACACAATTTTATACAGTTATATTTATAGCATACTTGGTTTTTAGTTCCGTTCAGGCCCTCAATTTGATTGAACTTGGTAGCAGAAGCTCTTCACTGTTTTTTCCTTGGTCTCTATAGTGGTAATGTTAAATAGCAAAATGATATTCAGGAGTAGGATTAGCATAAATTTAAGTATCAATTAAATTAATGAACCAATATCTGCTGAGCCTTCCCCCAGTGCTAGTTGTTTCGCATCGTTACTGATCACTTCAAACAGCAACAACGAGATTGGATGGTAGATAAATCCAGCCAGTCAGCTAGATTGGAGGTAAAACTCAGTTTTGCAACTGTGCTGGGATCCTATTACTAAAAAAATCCATACCAACCTGGTTGAGGTTCCAACTCTGGCTAAGACCTACTTTCATGCCTCTTTAGATTTCCGGTATCGTTGGCATCTGCTCCTGTGCATGTCTCATTGTTTCATGACATTGCACCAAAGGATGTAAACAAATACAGACAAGCCAGATTGAATTTGATTCATTAGTCGTATTTTAGCGAATGTGGAACCGAGGCCTTAAGTTTGAATGAAGGCTCATTTCTAGTTGGAGCTCCTGCTTCAGTGCTTAATAGACTGCTAATAGTTTCTGGATCACTGGTAATCTGCAAGCCTATTCCGATTTCGTTGCATGCTTTTTTGTATTCTTTTGAAAAGAAAAATCTTAACCTTATTGCCAAGGTGAGAAAGGATACATTTTGGTATTTTATTTGCTGCATAAGGATAACTAGATATTGGACTCCTGAATTGTCCTAGGTAATTTAATCATTTTCAGTTTGGCAGTACTACTTGAGTCATTTGCTCATGCTATCTTAGGCTAGACTTCGTGTCCAAAAAAAAAATTATTTTAACCCAAAAGTGTTTTTCCAAAAGTTATCATTTTTCCAAAAATACTACCCATTGAAAAATAATATTTTTCCTAAAAAATATTTTTAAAAAAGTTTGCTCTCAAAAAATATTTATGTTAACAAAATTTTATATTTTTACCAAAAATATTATGTTAACTAAAATATAATTTTATGTATAAATATATTTTTGTTGTACAATATTATTTTTATGAAAAGTAATGTTTTTTAAAATTATTTTTTGAACAACATTATTTTTATTGCCTAAATTTAAATTCTTAAAGTTAATTGAAATGTAATATTCCTCCAAAACGAATTAAAATTACAAGAATTTTAAAATTCCATTTTTTAAGAAAGTAAAAAAGAAATTGTTTCTTTAAAATTTAAAATTTTCAAAAAATATTAAAATTGACTAATATTTTTCCAATTTATTAAAGGTAGGAGGCAACTTACATACGAGGAGTTACAAATAGAACCAAACTGCTGTTATGCAAGTTGTGAATTTTAAAAATTGAACTAAACAGTTGCCCCCTAAATACACACCCTTAAATTGGTTGTGTTATGCAATTTTGTTTAACTGAAATAATGTTAAGAGACACGTATTTAATTATTATGACCATCGTTTTTTTCCAAGTCCTCTTTGCTATTATTTGTATTGAAGTTGCTACATTGGAGGTTGTAGCTTTTGAAGTCTAGTATTTTTCTATTAGTTTGATCAAAGTTCTTTAATTGTATACATTATTGTGTGTGTTGTTTCCTTAGACATTGATTTTTATGCAACAATTTAGTAGAAAATGCAAGACCAAAATACGTGGTCAAAGGAAATGTGTACGGGAAAATGTAGTTGAAGATAAAGAAATAGAGTTGGTTAGTATAATTGTGGATTTCATGATGATGTTAGTAGGAGCATAGTATAGTGTGATGGAAGGTGTTGTGTGAAGGAGGCATGGAGGAAACTATAAGTCAACAATTTAACGGGTGGTGCTTCGAGCGTTTATCAAGATCGGAAAGTATTATGTCAAGCTAGACGATTCCACTACTATTTATGCGGGAGATAACAAATGGAAATGGTTTGAGGTAATATAATAACTTATGCTTTGAATACATAGGTATTCATCATCTAAATACTTAATGCCTTTGTTTCCATCGGTTGATTGTTTGGGTGTGCTTGGAGCTCTGGATTGACACACATTAAATGATTGTGCCTCTTGACGACTGGTCTAGATATCGAGACAGAAGGGCGATATCATCGCCAGTGTGATAATGTCCTATCCGTGTGATCTAAATCTTGAGCTTGCCTAAGTTTTACCTGGTTTAGAGGGATCCCTATCAGATCATTCCATTCTTCGTTATGCTCTGCAGAGGCCTAACAGTGGGTCATACTTAGGACACCAACTTTCTTTGATACAAAGACTCATGGGAGAATTATTCATGCTTTTTCTATTCGTCATAATTTCATAAGAGATGAAAATATGGAAGAGGATGATCTATTAGATGCGGTGGAGCAGTAGCTCGAAAATGTAGAGATACGCGATAGTAATAAAGATCACGATTACATTACAAGTACTCAAGAAACAGATGAATGGAATATGTCTACAGACAATATTGTTATGGTGATGTTCGGTGAATACCAAGGTCGAGCTTGTGCTACTAGAGACTTCATGTAGATTTTACTGTAAACAATATGTAGAATTCGCGACTTGATTTTAAGTGTTGGGGTCGTAATGTTTTCCAGTAGACTTCAGGTAGATTTTTACTAAGTTGTTCCAAATCAAATTATTATTCAACTAAGTATGATTAGTCTGTTTTAGTGCTTATGAAGCTTATTAAAAAATTAAGGTGTAGTGCTTCCCAACGTATGCGGATTTCTTTTTCCTAATATTTGGTATACTACTTATAGTATACCTACCTATTTTCAGGAATTATTGTGTTTATTGGAATTTCTTGATGGGAGACTATTTTTAAATTTAGAATTCATGTTTGCTAGGCTATGTTGGATTTTATTTCTAGTAAGTTGAATTTATGTTGATATTTAGTTTGATCAATGAGACTGTGCAATGTTTAATACTATGTTTCACACATATGCAGTGTGCCTAATATACATGTTTATTGATGAATTAGTGTTTTAACTATTAGCGACTCTGTCGAGGGGTTATTATCAATGTTCTATTTATTTCCTTTACCTTTGATGTTCAAAATTCATACTTATTCTATTTCTATTTGTTTTAGTAATCAAATTTATTTGCTGAATGGAGGACACTTTATATAATATTGTCAATTAGTTTGGACTTTTGAAAACCCACATCACTTCTGTATTACTGTAAGATTTCTCGTTCCTGTCACAGAGCCTTAAGGTCTGTTTGGCAAACCCTAAAAATTGGGCTAGGACTAAACCTAACCTAGTTTGGGATTTTTTGTTTTCTTATTGGCAAAAATCGGGCCAGTATAGGCCAAGAAAAGGGGCCTAAAACTAGTTCTGTTTTTTATCCACCCTCCCTTGGATAGAAAAAGAATCAGTTTACCCCAAAACTGGGTCAAGATCAATCCTAGCTCAGTTTTGAGGGAATTTGCCCTACAGGCCCTTAAGTTGAACTGAGGACTGCAATGCTGTCAGTTGTTAAACTCAAAAACACCACAGGTGATGTACTCCTTCTGTGATTTGCAGCTTGTATAATATCTTGTGATCATGTTGAGAGTTTTGCTCGCTTTGTTTCTACAATGTGAAATTTTCTTGTAGTTTCCATCAGCTGAAGATTTTTCATGTTTTTTTTCAATCAGCTATTGATTATTTGTTGAACAACTTTGAATTTGGCAAATCCATCCTTTTCATGTATTTGTGCATTTGTCTCAGTATGCTTTTGTGTTTCCTATGATTTTAAGGAAAATTTAGATGCCCGGGCATATTCAAACAAAGTTAATTGAGAGTCGAGATAATATTCGTGTATTAGTGGGTGTTGATAGAGCAGCTGGTGAGGGTCCAAAGCGAATTGAAGATTCCGTTGTAGCCATGGATGCGGTACGTGCACATGAAGTGGAGAGCTATATAGCAAGGAGCCTTCTAAATCTTCATTTTCCGAATCTAATAAGAAGCTAAAAAGACACTGTTTAGTAGATTTTGTGAGAAGTAAGAAAAATTTGGAGGGTGAGAGAGACATGCCAAGGTGTCTAAAGCGTCAGGTATTCTTCTGTATTAAGTTTTAAGAGTTGTTAAGAGGCTCATGAATGATATTATGGATGAGTTTCAAATGCTGAATGGTCTTCCTGACGATGACGAAGAGGTTCGTGAATGATGCTATAGATGAGTTTCGAATTCTAAAGAAGCCTCGTGATGATGGCGAGTTAGAATGGATTTCCGCTATATCTTAAGAACCCGACTTTGTAGGGAGATGATGAAATTTGTAGGGAGAGTTCAACTATGTTTTTGTGTTTTGATGGTGATTTTAGATGTTAAGAGTCTTCAAAATATTGGGTTTATACTTTGCTTGGGTGATTTTCTACTATACATTCTAGTTAGAGAAAATTTGGTAGCATTGGTATCAAGAATGGAAGTGATCATCGATAGTGAGATAGTCACCTCTCACCACACACTTAAAGGTGCTCACTTGAAAATGATCATCACTTGATTACTCATTAGATAAGTAGATTGGAGGTAACTATCTTTCTATAGACCAAATTTGGTCATTGATATCAAGGAGCCCTATATTCGTCCTCTTGTTATTACCTTTTATAATGTGGATTTGAATAATGAGCATATATATGCGAGTTAATTGGGGGTGTGTGAGACGGCATATACCAAGAGCAAAGTTGGTTATTGGTAGTGAGATGGTTACATCTTAGCCCCTCATCTACAGAGATTACCTTTAATGTAAAGTGATCTCTTGTATCTTTTTAATTTTACGAACTTTAGAGAAGGGTTTGAGATGTGGTGACTTCATACCAACGGCTAACTTTGTCTTCGATACCAAGGATATCCATATACATCTGTGTATGTGAAGCTAGAATAAATTTAAGTGGATAGGAGCCTTTGTTTGCTAACTTTTTCATTCTTTGATTTTATTTTGAGATTCGTATTATGTATTAAGGTTTTTGGGATGTGTACCTTGGTATGTATAATTTCCTCTTAATGTCAAAGCAAAATCAATGGATGAAAAGATTGGTGAACAAGATTCTTTGTCCATTTTAGTTTATTCTAGTTTACAAAGCATGTGTGTGTACTTTGTATAAGCATGCACGTGCCCGCGCGCACACGTGTGTGTGGAGGTTAATGGGTATGATATGAAATATGAAGGAATCCTCTCATATGTAATGAGGTGGCTCAATTGGCAACCAAGTATTATTAAGAGCTTTCTCTGTCATTTATTAACTTAGTGGAGATTAAGCCACATCATTCTCATATGAGAATCCCCTTATATAACGAGGATGTACATGTGTATATGTATGTGTCTTGAGTGTACGTGTGGATATATGTATGTACATATGTATGGAGTTGTGCTGTGCTAGTAGCATCCAGGATGCGAATACTATAGACTCAAATTCAAATTTTGGGCTCACAATTGAATATCCAAACCATGAGATATGATCTACTGCACATTAATTACATATAAATAAAATTTTAGAGGATTTTGACATGTTGCATCATGTACCAAGGGGTAAAAAATTGTCAATAGTCTAAAAATTCTCAAACGTTGATCTTAACGATCTAAGATGCATGGTTAGAAAGTCGAAATTCTCTGAGATTTTGCTTATAGGGAGTTCAGGTATAGTAGATCACATCCCATGATGTGGATTTCAATTTGTGTACCCTAAATTTGAATTTGAGTCAAAAGTATCCGTGTCTTGTATATTGTAGATAGTAGTATAGCCACTTTATTATAAGGAGCAATATTTTCCCAAAATTTGAAAAAGTGAGAGTGGACCTGTGGGTTACATGAAGAATTGATCAAACAATACATATTATACATCTTCACATCTTTATATTGCTCAGAAAAAAACTGATTTGATTTATTTCAATAAGTATTAGAATTTTTAGAGACCATAAAGAGCTATACTTTATTCATAAAGAGCTATATTTTAGTGTAAAGAGCTATACTTTCATCATAAGGTGCTACATTTTATTTTAAAGAGCTATACTTTCCCAAATTAAAAAAAAGAGTGGATCTGCGGGTTACATGAAGAATTGATCAAACAATACATATTATACATCTTCACACATTTACATTGCTCATAAAAAACTGATTTGATTTATTTCACTAAGTATCAGAATTTTCAGAGACCATAAAGAGCTACACTTTATCCATAAAGAGCTATACTATGGCCATAAAGAGTTATACTTTAGCGTAAAGAGAGAGACGATATACTTTCATCATAAGGTGCTACATTTTATTATAAAGAGTTATACTTTTCCAAAATTTGAAAAGTTGAGTGTGGACCTGTGGGTTACATGAAAAATTGATCAAACAACACATACTATACATATTCACACATTTATGTTGCTCAAAAAAACTGATTTGAAGATGTATAAATAAAATACAATCATTGTACATTAGGTTTAAGTTTTGAACATGTTAGTAAGCAAGTATTTTCATTGATGAAACCACCAACATATGTACATGATAACCCGTGCATACCTTGGTGCGCGAAGCTCTAAAAATGGCAAAAGCATTAACCATTTGTTCAAGAAATTAAATATAAAACTCTAACTAAATCACCACATATTAATGTCTCACAAAGATATACAGTATGTATAATCAGAATACAATTCTATCGACCCTCTCGAATGTTTTATCTGCACATAATCCTTAATAATCACATTCCACAAAATCTAACTTCACTTGGACATTTCATCAAACACCTCCATTGCCTCATCAACCAACCCCGACACTGCTAATCATTGTGGTCTATATAACTAATCGCTCGTCATTCCATCAAACACCTTTTATGCATCAACCTTATCACCAAATCTTAGATATATATAAGCAAATTTGTTATGCACAAAGGATAATAAGATTTTCTTAACTGAATGCAGAAATCAATCGCCAAAAACCATAATTAATCACACGATGAACCAAGAAGTAACTAGAAACCAGTGAATCAAATAGGGAGCAAGAAGAGGAGTGAATGAGGGACGAATTTTTAAAGACAAAGTAGCGAGTCGGTGGTGGTCGCGACAGCGATGATCCTGGCAAAGAGAACATGGATTCGTTTAGTTGAGTGATGAAGCAAAGAGATTGCTTGCAAGCAGCCATGGAGCTGTTTTTTTTGAGATTAGAGAAGGGTATTTTTGAGAAGTTGTAACTTTTTTAAAGGGATAATGTACACAGAAACACTAAAATATGTTACATGGGTTTAAAAATAAGTGGGTGAAGGTTTATTGGGTGTATGAGTGATTTTGAAAGTAGATGGGTTTAAAAATAAGTCAAAGTAAAACTTTGGGTTAAGAAACAAAAAACCCATAAGCGAGAGGAATCCCTTGTTGCTTTTGTTCTTCTTCTTGCTGTAAATGGGGTGTGATGGAGACCTGTAGATTTGTTGCATTACTAACAATGATGTTGGCTTGTTACTTATTGCATTTGAGTTTTAAACACTGATTTTGGTCTTGGATACTCACTTGGATACTCACTTTTTCTTGCTCTACGAAGTATTGGTTCTTGATCTAAAGAATGATTTGCTATGCTGAACAGCAGCGACAGCTCACACTTTGCAACCTGGATCTTCTTCAGCTTTTACAGATCACACTGAAGCAAAATAAACTCCAAATCAACAGTGGATCAAATTCACTACAAATACATCACTTAAAACAACCAGTGGCATATATACATTTTCATACATGAACGAATAAAAACTTTTCACTGATGACAACAATTATCACTTGCTTTAAAATTCTGGTGCTTATCAAGGAATTACTTTATTTTAGAAAGCTACAGTACTGTCATGTCCCCTTTTTTCTTTTCCTCATGTGAAAACGGCGAAGGAATTGAGGAAGGAATTGAGAAAAACGTGAAGAATAAGCAAAACAGGCTCAACCATACCTTGGTGTGGTGTCTACCATGGGTGTGACAGAATCTGTCCTGTCTGTCACGGGTGTGGTGTCTGCCACACCCTGGTGTGGCAGAATCTGTCCTGTTTACCATGGGTGTGGTGTTTGCCACCCCAGGGTGTGGCAGACTCGTTTTTAGAATCCCAATCAGTTTGGGATTGTGTTTTGTTATAAATAGAGACACGTTTTTAGGGTTTCTTTGGCTTTGTTTAGGCTTTGATTGAGCTTTGATTACGCATTGATTGGGGGATATTTGGAGCACAAAAAGAGGTATTTTTTAAAGCTTTTGATTAGGGTTTTATTTTGGAGAGATTAAGAGTTTTGTTGGTGAGATTAGTTTGTTCTTTCGAGTGATTTGTAATCTCAGTTTGTACTCTTTCTCTATTAGTAAAAACCTTATCCCCCCTTGCCCCGTGGACGTAGGCAACTTGCCGAACCACGTTAAAATTAGTGTTTTGTTTGTGCATTGATTTTGGTTGGTTTTGGCCCTCTTTGATCGGCGTTTGGTTTGGTTCATCGACACGATTTTCAACAATATGGTATTAGAGTATAACAATTGGTATCAGAGCTCGGGCTACGTTTGAGCTATTTGGAGGAGTAGATCGATTTGGGAAGCTCGTCTAGGGTTTCAGTTGGTGAGAAAGATGAGATCTTTTTGGTAAAGCTTCTTTCTTTTCTCAGTTTTGGATCTATTCTTTGTTTGTTTCCGCACTGGTTGTTGGTGTGTTGAGGATTATGGTCGAGAAAGAGGGAGTTGAGGGTGATTCTTCAGGTGTGAAGACTGTCCAAAGTTTGAGTATCCACTCGATGAAGATTGACGTGGAGAAGTTCAATGACACTAACAATTTTGGACTTTGGCGATGCGAAATCTTGGATGCGCTCAATGCGCAGAATTTGGAAGATATGTTAGAGTTGGACGGGAAACCAGACGACATTGATGAGAAGGTTTGGAAAAAGATGAATCGGACAGCGTGTGGTGTGATTAGGTCTTGTCTCACTCAAGATTTAAAATATGATATGATGAATGAGACTTCAGCTAAGAAGATTTGTGAAGTCCTAGAGAGCAAGTACCCGACGAAGAGTGTCGAAAACCGTTTGCATTTGAAAAGGAGGTTTTATTGCTTCCAATTGAAGAATGGGACATCCATTAGTGATCACATGAACCACAACACGAAGCTTCTTGCAGATTTGACGAATGTAGATGTCATTGTTGAAGATGAGGACAAGGCGTTGCTATTGTTGAGTTCATTGCCCGACGAGGAATATGAGACGTTTGTCCTTACTCTTATTAATGGGAATGCATCTTTTTCATATAGTGAGGTCACTGCTGCATTAGTGAATTACTAACTTAGGAAGAAGGACAATGAGACTTCTATTGAGCCGGTAGCGGGGGCATTGGTTGCAAGAGCAAATGGTCCAAACTGAGGTAGAAGGTCACAGTCTAGAGGGGCACATTTTAGA